TCTTCCGTGCTGCTCCTCCCCGGCACCCAGCAGCCTCCCTGCTTTGCACATCCCCTGCACCACATCTTGGGTGCCAGGGGCCCACCCAGGGGTGGGCATTGCTGTGGGTGAGGTTCCAGGCTCTCCTGCTGTGAGCTCTGGCTCCTGAGCTCTCTGGGTGCCAGGGCACCCTGCCTGCTGCCCCGCAGGGCCATGCTCCCTGCCCTTCCTCAGCCAGACCTTGCCATGAAGAAGGCAGAGTCTGCTGGATGGTGACCAAAGCTGCTGCGTCCCAGCACTGCGGGGCTCTGCCCAGCCTGCTGTCAGCTCTAAGTCCCACAAAGCCAGTCCTGGCTGCTGCACGTTGGCAGGATGAAGTGTGCTGATCAGCATAACCTGCTGCCCCCACCCTGATTTCACAAAGTCCTTGTTGAGGGAAATGTCCTTCCTCTTCTTTCTTGTGGCCATCCAAACGTGCTTGCAGCTGTGTCAGTGTTTGCTGCGGATCCTGGAGCTTCCTCAGGACTTGCTGTTGGCTCCTTGTGTTACAAAACCTTTATGGACCTGCTGGGAGGGATAAGGGGGGTGTCGCTTTGCTGCTGCTTGCACCTCAGTTTTGGGAAAGGTGGGGAGATTAACTTCTGGCTCTCACCATGGGTTTCAAGGACTTATTTTTCTGTCATCCCTCACTGTCACTGCTGCTTCTGAAACACAGCACTGAAAGCACCCTAGATGCACGGAGCCAGGACTTGCAGTGACTTGTGCAATTACCTGGGACGGTGATCACTGCCGTGCTCCTGAGTGCAAAATGGCTGGTTCCACCGGCTTCCTGCCAGCTGACTCACAGCGGGGCACCCATGGCTCTGGAAATCCGGTTTGGTTTCGATGTTCCTCTGCCTCGGTTGTGCCTGATGACGCATCCAAATCCTTGGCAACAGCAGGGCTGAGGCAGTGAATATTTTGGTTCTTGCTGAAAGGGCTGCAGTCTCTGGGATGCCTCACCTGGAGGGAGCGAGGCTGCAGAGCCCACCTCAGCCTCTTCCCCTGAGGGACCTGAGGCTGCCTTGGGCTGGGGGATCCTCCCACTTCAGCCCTTCAGTTCAGTTAAGTGCAGCTAATGCTTCCTCCTCCAGAGCTAATTTAGGGAAGCTGAGCCTCGGAATGTGGCAACCATTCACTGCTGCAAATCCCCCCATTGCTGGGCACCTCAGTGCCATCACCTCTTCAGCACCTTGTGCCTGGGTGATGCTCTGTGATCTCAGCCTGCAGCCCTGGTATTGGACTGGCAACAGGGGCTGCAGCAGCTGCTGTGGGGCTCCAGCCCTTCAGCTGAGTGGTTGTTTGGGCAATGAAGAAGATGCTCACTGGGTGCTTCCCAGGGCTGTAGGTGGGTGCAGTCCATGGGACATGCTGGCCTGGTGTCCCTGGCTCCAGCAGATGGGTCTCCATCTCGCCGGGCCCCAGAGGTGGGCAGTGCAGCGATGGGAGGCAGAGCACCAGTTCTGACTGGAATGAACACAAGGCACCCAGGCTGTAGGGCAGTGTGGACTGGGGCCTGGGCTACCCTTCCCGGGCTGCGCACCTCACCACCTGCAGCGATTGCATTTGTGGCCCTGGCTGGGCTCTGACCCTGCCTCCCCCTCCCCAGCGCGAGTGCATCTCCGTCCACGTCGGCCAGGCCGGCGTCCAGATGGGCAACACCTGCTGGGAGCTGTACTGCCTGGAGCACGGCATCCAGCCCGACGGGCAGATGCCCAGCGACAAAACCATCGGCGGAGGGGACGACTCCTTCACCACCTTCTTCTGTGAGACTGGGGCTGGGAAGCATGTCCCACGGGCCATCTTTGTGGACCTGGAACCCACGGTGATCGGTGAGTGCAGCACAGTTGGGCAGTGACGGTGATCACTGTCTTCAGGAACAACCCACTGCCAGACATTCCCCAGAGGGGCTTCTGCCCCCTTTCCCCAGGGCCAGCTAGGAAATCCCTGACGTTGTGCTAACCTCTCCTAGATGAGGTTCGGGGAGGAGTCTATCGCCAGCTCTTCCACCCTGAACAGATGATCACTGGCAAGGAGGATGCTGCCAACAACTACGCCCGCGGGCACTACACCATTGGCAAAGAGATCATTGACCAAGTGCTGGACAGGATCCGGAAGCTGGTAGGTGACCACAGAGGGGGGATATATGACCCTGGGCTCCGGCATCCTGCTGGGGGTGGGAACATGGGGTGAGCTCTGCTGTGCCCTGGGAGGCATGTGTGGCTGCCTAAGCAAAAGTTGAAACTCCCCTCCAGAAAAGCCTGTGCTTGTAGGCGTCTCAGTTGGATCTCTCCACAGGCTGACCAGTGCACGGGACTCCAGGGCTTCCTCGTGTTTCGCAGTTTCGGAGGAGGAACTGGCTCTGGATTCACCTCCCTGTTGATGGAGCGACTCTCCGTTGATTATGGCAAGAAGTCTAAGCTGGAGTTCTCCATCTATCCTGCGCCACAGGTCTCCACTGCGGTGGTGGAGCCCTACAACTCCATCCTCACCA